CCAGAGGAGGGCCACTCGCATGATCCGGGGACAACAGGGCAGACCCTACAATGAGAGACTGCAGGACCTGAACCTGTTCAGTCTCCACAAGAGAAGGCTGAGGGGGGATCTAGTAGCCTGTTACAAACTAGTCAGAGGGGACCAGCAGGCACTGGGGGAGTCCCTGTTCCCCCGAGCACTACCAGGAGTGACTAGAAATAACGGTCACAAGCTGGCAGAGGGTAAATTCAGACTAGACATCAGGAGGCACTACTTCACGGTCAGGGCAGCTAGGATACGGAACCCACTTCCAAGAGAAGTGGTGCTGGCTCCTACCCTGGGGGTCTTTAAGAGGAGGCTAAACAAACACCTTGCTGGGGTCGTTTGATCCCAGCACTTTTTCCTGCCATGGCAGGGGGTCAGACTTGATGATCTGCTCAGGTCCCTTCCAACCCTACCAACTATGAAACTATGAACGGTCTCTTTCCTGGATATGAAATGGAAAGAGACGGTGTCAAGATTTGTTATAAAACATAGAAAAGGGTTACAGCAGTAACATTTCAACATACTGGTCCTGTTCTTATATCGTGCAGAGTAATCCAACAGACACTTATTATTGCAGTAACAACTTTGAAAGTATAACAATTAGTGAAAAATATGAAGCTGAGCTTCATACTAAAAGGATTTCTAAGGTTCCTAATTTTTTTATTCTATATAAAATAATGTAATGCTGCTGAGAGTGACAAGCATGTTATATTGCTGCGCAGAAACTTACAGGTATCCAGGGTACATTTATAATGCCCGCTTCTAAGAAGCAGACTGATACTTATAAAGATGATGGAAAGAAACATTAAGCTCAGGTATAACTGAAGTATTCCAAACAGTCATCCTGCTCTATAAAATCTTGTTAAAATAGGTGCTGAGCAGGTTCATTCATTTAGAAGCCTGACTGAAACATCACCATCAAACAACGTTACAAAATTTATTACTGCAGTCAATGTTTCATCTCAGCCTTTAAAAAAATTAATCAGTTAGCAGAACTAAAAAATCCTGTCACCTCCATGAGCAACCCAGGGCTTGAATTTCCTAGTATGACTGATTATTTGGCAGACTGCATCAATTCTTTTCTGTTTTTTTTTAAATCCTTTTAGACAGTTAATGTAAGGATACAGTATTTTCTCCCAAACACTAAGAAGAACCCATTTACTTACTCTACCCAAGACAATATATTCGTGACAAACTAGAGTGAACTCTGTCCTTGCCTTATGCAGATGGGGAACAAAAATTATACAAATAGCAGAGGTCTATTTTTGCAGAAAACCAATCCAAAATTCCAACTGCTTGAATTAAGGGATGAACTTCAAATGATATGGTTTTAAAAAATGAATTGCATCAGTGTTTCTAGCATTAACAGTAACACAGTGAGAATGCTACAAGATAAAATACCCTAAGTGGAGGAGGAAGTTGGGAGGAAGAAAGAATCCTAAGGTATGGTCTTAAATGTTCCTTAAAGTTCACTTGATCTCATAATAAGCTATTCACAAGTTCTCTGAGTCAGTAATTTTAAATGACTGTTAGTCAACAGATTATGCATAGGCAAACATGTTATGACTTTGAATAGGAATCCTTTCTACAAGTCTGAACAGTCTATTTCCTCCCACAGGAGACAGCTTTTAATCCTCAACTTTTACTGGACTTGCCATTTAAGGAAAGATTCATTTACAGCTGTGGCTTTTGGCACAGACAGATGTTCAAAATAAACTATTACATGTACCGAACAGAATCTTAAATCACAATCTTTTTCCTTTAGTAGCTACTCCTACAAACCTGTTCAGAAAAGGATCAGAACTATTTGTAGTCATTGTTCTCAGTTCCTGAGACATTCCAGGAGACGAAACTGGATTTTGAGAACCACTGTCTTGTTCCATTGTTGGAAGTTGGCTACGGAGAGCTAATTCCTAAAAAACAAGACGTGAACACATTAGCAAGTTCAATGAAATACTTCAGGCTCATGAAATATTTGTGTGCAGCCAGAAACATCACAATAACTTAGATTTTTACATACTTCAAGTTACTGTATACAAATAGAAATACATTAAGTTTTTGAAGTCGGCAATAAACCCCACAGAATAATTATTCTGTGCCAACAAATTAAAGTACAGCCAATTGTTAGAATTAATAAGAAGGCTTCACTGCAAATATTTTAAAGTAAATATATTACCTACAATACAATACCCAAATTACCAGTTGGGCTGCTCATAAACAATTTAACCAAAGAACTTCACTCTTCTTCCTGTTTGAAAATTATTTATGAACAGAGGTTGAAGTGATGTTGTAGCTGCAATGGACCAGGAAACATATGAGAGGCAAAGACTTTGGTGATATCTTGTATTAGATGGATTGTATAGCTGGGAGAGATACTGGACAACTTTTCTTGCACAAGCTGCCCTTCCTCAGCTCTCTTAATGGCTTAAAACACTTCAAAACAGATTTATGAACAGACCATTTTTTCATAATTGTTCAACCTACTACCTCACCTGAATAAAACTGCATGTGAACTGCTGGCTGACTGCTTGTTACTCACTAGCTGATTGGTCATTGGGTCCCACTGTGTACCAATGTATGCAACTGTGTGTACGTATGCAATCCTAGATGTGAAAGTTCTCATCTTACTTTATTTACACCCTTCCCTTCCCTGTCAGGGGCCTGGCCAGGGTACACACAATTCCTAACTGCAAAGACTGCATCTATACATCCTTCCATCCCTCTCAACTGTGACCTCACATACAGTTTTAACACAACTGCCCATCACTGCATGCAGCACTGTTGCAAACAAATCAGCTATTGTGTTGTGGATATACATTCCCAGTCCTGACTGAAAGGGATTCAGACAAACATGAGCGACAGTCTCTGCATTAGAGATTTAGAATCGTGGAGAATGAAGTTTGGAAGGGACCTCAGGAAGTCATCCAGTCCAATCCCTGCTCTAAGCAGGACCACCCCCCCAACTAGATCATTCCAGCCAGGCCTTTGGTCGAGCCAGGCTTTAAAAACGTCCAAGGATGGAGCTTCTACCACGTCTCTGCGTAACCTGTTCCAGTGTTTTACTACCCTCTGAGCAAGAGAGATTTTCGTAATATCCAACCTAAGCTTCCCTTGCTGTAACTTGAGACCCTTGTTCCTTGCTCTGTCATCTGCCACCACAGAACAGTCAAGCTCTAGTAATACTTTGTGGTGCTGTATTAAGCATCTATACTGCATCAAACATAAGCTGTTTGTCTTGCCAATCAAAATGTATCCTCAGCATAAGAGAGAAAGATTATAGGACTGGAAGGGACTTCCTGGGTCACTGAATCCAGACCCCTGGCTACTGCATTCAATGGCAGAAAAACAACTTTCATAAAATGATCACATTCCTCCTGAAATTGATTCAGGTCATTGTAGAACCTCCCAGAATCAAATAGTTATAAACCCTTTCCCACCCCCCAGCCAAAATGAGCCTCTCAGTTTCTCTCTTGTGTTTGCTCCACCCATATTTAGAAAATGCAATTTTATTCCCTTCTTAGTCTGTTATGCTAAACTGAATAAGAAAAGGTACAAAATTACAAATACAAGAAGGGTTTCTACAAATATACCAGCAACAAGAGGAAGATCAGGGAAAGTGTGGGTTCCATATTGAATGGGGGGCCACCTAGTGATAGATGATGCAGAAAAGGCTGAAGTATTCAATGCCTTTTTCACCTGTCTTCCCAGGCAAGGTCAGTTCCCAGATTACTGCAGCAATATGGGGAGAAGGTGAGCAGCCAACAGTGGCAAAAGAGCTGGTTAGGGACTACTTAAAAAAGCGGGACATGTACAAGTTGATGGGGCTAGATGTGATGCACTTGTGGGCGCTGAGGGTGTTGGCAAATGTGACTGAAGAGGCACTGGTCATTATTTTTGAAAACCTGTGGTGATAGGGAGAGGTTTCAGATTATTGGAAAGGGGAAAATATACTGCCCATCTTGAAGAAAGAGAATGAGGAGGATCTAAGGAACTACAGACTGGTCAGCCTCACCTCAGTCATTGGAAAAATCATGGGGAGCGGGTCCTTAAAGAATTCATTTCTAAGTACTTCGACCAGAAGACGGTAAATAGGAGCACTCAGTATGGATTCACCAAGGGCAAGTCATGCCTGACCAACCTGATTGCCTTCTATGACGAGATGACTGGCTCTGTGAATGTTGGGAGACCAGTGGATGTGGTATACTTTGACTTTAGCAAGGCTTTCAATATGGTCTCCCACAACATTCTTGCAAGCAAGTTAAGGAAGTATGGGCTGGATGATTGGACTGTAAGGTAAGGGGATTTAAAAAAAAAAACTGGATGGATCATTACGCTCAAAGGGTAGTAATCAATGGGGCTTGATCTCTAGTTGGCAGCTGGAATCAAGTGGAGTACCCCAGGAGCTGGAACTGGGGCCAGTTTTGTTCAATATCTTCATCAATGAACTGGAAGATGGGACTGAGTGCACTCTCATCAAGTTTGCAGATGACACCAAGATGGGGGGAGTAGTAGATATGCTGGAAGGTAGGGCTGGGATTCAGAGACAGAGAGAAACTGGAGGATTTGAACCAAAAGAAAACTCATGAAGTTCAGCAAGGACAAATGCAAACTCCTGCCATTAGGAGAGAACAATCCTGTACAAAGCTCTGCAAAAAGACCTGGGGGTTACACTTGACAATAAGCTGAATATGAACAGCAGTGTGCCCTTGTTGCCAAGAAGGCTAACAGCATACAGGGTTGCATTGGTAAATGTGTTGCCAGCAGACTGAGGGAAGTAATTATTCCCATCTATTCAGCACTGGCAAGGCCACATCTAGAGTACTGTGTCCAGTTTTGGGCCCCCCACTACAGAAAGGATGTAGACAGGTTGGAGAGAGTCCAGCGGAGGGCAATGAAAATGGTTTGTGGGGTTGGGGCACATGACTTTTAAGGAGAGACTGAGGGAACTGGGCTTATTTAGTCTGCAGAAGAGAAGATTAAGGGAGATTTAACAGCAGCAACCTTCAACTTCCTGAAGGGTGGTTCAAAAACAGATGGAGCTGGACTGTTCTCAGTGGTGGCAGATGACAGAACAAGGAGCAATGGTCAAGTTTCAGCAAGGGAAGTTTAGCTTTGGTACCAGGAAAAGCTTTCTTGCTATGAGAGTAGTGAAGTACTAGAAAAGTTACCCAGAGAGGTGGTGGAATCTCCATCCTTGGAGGTTTTTAAGACCTGGCTAGACAAAGCCTTGGCTGGCATGTTATAATTGAGCATGGTCCTGCTTAGAGCAAGGGGCTGGACTAGATGACCTCCTGAGGTCCCTTCCAACCCTAATTTTTTCCAAGTCTATAACTCGTTGAAAAGTCTCGTCTCAAATAGGCTTCCCATTCTCCCTACCATCCTGTTCCTATTAGGATTTTCTGGAGCGTGTGGATTACTGGAGTGGCATGTATATTTCAAATGAGGCATCACAAGGACCGTGTACAGTGGTATTTATACTTACCTTTCCATACTGGAAATGTCACTCTTTATGCATTGTAAGTTCTGGTCACTTTAACTTGGGTATATTATGTTTTTGGAAGTTCTGCTTCCACCCTGGATGCAACATTTTCCATTTCCACACTCTCCTTCCTATCATCCATGTTATCTTTGTCTCCCTTATCAATTTTACCATCTTTTGATCTTAGATCATAGGACCTTCACAGTCTCTTCCGGTCTTAAGCTAGCTTCCCCTTTCTCGTTAAATTTACAAACACCTTTGTGCTTCTTTCCATACTTTCTTTTATGCTTGGAAGAAGCTCTCCAGACATGCACAGCCACTTCATTGCTCTTAAGATCTCTCCTTTTAACTCTCCTCTGAAGAAAATACTGACAAAACTGGCTATTATGGTGTTGAGACTACTGCATATGACGACCGATATTGCTTCCGCATCCTTGTGATCATCACCCATCTATCTCATCTCATACTTCAAGTACAAATTCTTTGGAATCAGATCTGCCTTTCCACTCTGTTTGTACAGGGGTTGACATAAAAACATCCTGGTTTGAGGGCACCAAGGAGTGACAATAATGCAAATACTGGTAGTAATGAGCTTGCATACAATTAACTGAGATAACAGCTCACTATGAAGATTGAGCACCTCATCAGTGCACATCACCAACTCATTTAGCATATCTTAAAAAGCCCCCCCAAACTCCAGTTTTTCTAAAAGCTCCATTTTTCAAAAGCGTCTAGTACAAAATTGGTAAGGTTGAAGATCCAGATTTCAGCTCCATGTGGCAAGCTTGCAAGAATCAAATTGTACAGAAAGGAGTAAAATTCGGGGGGGAGGTTGTAAAACTGTATACAAGTTACTTAGAAAAAAGGGCTTTAACCTCAAGGGAGAGCAGTCCAAAGGTAGTCATGGTAGAAAGAAGCGAGGTTCTTTCATCATTTGGTGATAAACAGTGCATAAATGTGTGGCAACAACTTCTGAGAAGTATTTAAATAGCTACAAAACCCATAAACATTTGATTAAATAGCAAATGAGACTGGGTATGCACTCAGTGCTCAATTCTTGTTTGATTTAAATGCACTTCACTGCCAAAAGCATGAAAGGTTCATATAGGAGTAGACCGGTGCAACGCAGATAAAAACTGACTACACTAAAAACCTATTTTGTCAAGATTTCACTACAGCATTTTCCAGGAGGATTATTAAACTGTAACCCCTGTTAAGATTGGCTCATGATGGAAAAAAAATACTAATTACTGACAGGCTGACCAGAAATTCAAATGTAAATTAATTATACTATTTCATAACACTGCAAGTCTACTGAATGACTTGTGTTCTCTGGAAATCTTACATCAACCATTTAAAGGAAGCCTCTGTATAGGTGTGTAGAAGAATTTTCTATGATCATGTAATTGCTGATTAGTCTTTTTTACTTTCTGC